GATGTCTCGCACTTGTGAACAAATAACACGCTGGCTCGCACTTTGGCAACACTCTTTGGCAGTCAACTCGCCCCTAGAAAACCCGCCCTTGGAAACTTGCCCCATAAAAAAATGCACACTTCCTAGACCATGCAGTCTTCAAAATAAAAATTGTAACCTTTGGTAATTAACTACATTTTCCACATACATAGAAAATTTTGAAACTTTATTAAAAAAAAACCTAAACCATAATTCACCACTATAGACACTTTTTGACAAAAATGAAAAATTACGACTTTGTTACCCAATGAGAAGTGTTCTAATATAGACAATGGGTCACGTCTCATATTATTTGTTATATTTTTATTATTCATTATTTTCACTTGACTCGCATAAATAATTTTGTTCTAAGAACATTTATATGCAGTTGTACTTCGCAGCACTTCACTTGCAATTTGCAATTTCTAGTATAACATACATATTCAATAATAAAAAGATTGGGACACAATTCAAATAAATAAAACTTTCAAATACAGGCAAAATCAGGCTAAAAAAATTTATGTTATAAAAGTAAAAAATGAAAAATAGTAATAATAATGATAATAATAAAAATAATAATAATAATAACAATAGGTGACAAATTTTCATTTTTTTGTAAAGCTGAAATGGAAACGGAGAACTCAACACTCAATGCGACGTACAACCGTCGCACAACGAATCCACATTTGCTTCCGGTGAGCGATAGACGATGCAACGCCGTCTGCTGATTGTCAGTGGCAATCTGAATGGATCCTCAAAGACATCCCATTGGGTCCCCGTCTTTGCGTGCGTTCTTCATTGCGTCGCTGTCGCACGCAGTGAGTAACCGGCTTTACTCAGAATGTTTCGATCCCTATCAGAGATCTTTATCAACTGACAGGTGTTCTGGTTTGTAGGTGATATAAAATCTAGAAAGAACTGGTTGATCGTGGGAATCAACTATTCCTGGAAACTTTCTGCTTAGTCATAGTTTTTTGGGGAAAAAAATAGAAAAAACATTTGCTGTAGGCTACTATTGAGTTTTCAGTCCTTCAAAATGTATAATATTCTCACTATTTGATGTTTGACTAACCATGTACTTTTGGATGATTTACATGTTTTGGTCCATGTGAATTGATTGTTAGACGGTTTGATATGTTTTATTAATCCCGTTCGATGCAGGCATAAGGGAATTTCATATTTTTTCACTTGTCCCCGGACAAGTACCTTTGAAAAATGCACTTGTCCTGAAGACCATTTTACTTGTACCAATATTATTGTGCAATAATCATAAAAAATAACACGAAAGCAAAGTATTTTTGCTAAGGTTCTACAACATTAAAAGGCCTAATGTACATGCATACTGCATTGATCACGCAAAAATGTTTTTCTTTCTTTTTTTAATTTGCAAGAATTAAAACAACTACTGCAAGTAAAAATTTCTCAGGCATGGTTGATTCCCACAATACACGAGTTCTCAGCCACACGCTAGGACTGTGTTTTATGACGTTATTTTTTTTTTGGGTGGTGGGTGGCCATACCGTATGTTTGTACCCATTTGCAGATCTTCGCGGCGACAGATTTCTGGGCCTAATATTTTTTTGCGGGGAATATTTTACAGCCTGACACATCCTCATTTCATTTTTTGCAAAATAAATAAGAAATTGCTTACCTCTCCATGAAAGACAAGCACTGTAGGCCTATATTACTCTGAGCATGGGAAGAGGGGACGAATAACTTATAGAGAATCTCCTAGACGGCGAAATTTTTGAGACGGGAAAATGATTCATTTTGTAGGCCCTAAACCCTTAATTTTTAACTTTAGTTTTACAAGATTTGGATTTTATATGCACATTATCATCATCACTTAGTAAATGATTTTTTAATTACTTTAACAACTTTAAATCCCAATGTAACTACCCTTTCTTAGTCTGTCCAGATTATTGCCTTCCCCACACGCGCAAACGAAATAGCTATGCCTATTTTGAAGTCGGCCTAATGGCTGCTGTTCATATTCGTACTCGAAAGTAATTACTAGACACTTCATGCTGTCCAACTCAACTTATCAACTAATGGCTGTGCGCCCAAAATCTTGGTATATGTCTGGTATTTATAGACTAGACCAGCAGGCCCAGGCTGCTGATGGCTTACAGGTACGATATCGTGAGAAAATATGTAGGTCTGCTGTAGGTCTGATGTGTAAACATACAACAGATCTGGCTAATGTTGAATAGTACAAACGTCAGTTTCCTTTTTTTTTTTTGAAATAAGCAATCGGCCAGATGGAGAATTAAACTCGTGACCTTAGGAATGACTAAATGTCCTGGATTTAACTTCCAAATGCAACTGCTCCTACATTAATTAATCCAAGTTAATAATTGAATTGGTATTTCGACTCTACTTCTCTTTCAGCCAGTCAGAAAACTTTTCTGCTTTTTTTCCCCAAGTTTTATTTAGTTTTGTCCCTGGAGATAGGTTGTATCGTTCAATACATTTCCAGTTCATGTTTTTAGTCTCTACATTTAATGCTGTTATTTTTTTTTTCTCCTGACAGTTCCTCGCAATTTTCGACTACTGGAAGAATTGGAAGATGGCCAGAAAGGTGGTGGAGATGGGTTGATAAGTTGGGGCTTAGCTAATGATGACGACTTGGAATTAAAAGTATGGAATGGTATGATCATTGGCCCCCCAAGGGTGAGTACTCAAAGTGATGACAGCACTTTTGTTTACATTAAAGACAAGTTCAGAAAAGGATTTTTCGTTAGGGGGCTATACCAAACATTTTAGATGGTTTGAATCAACACCTACTGTACCGCCACAAACTATTTGCAATTTTACCTGCGCGCAGGCTTCGTAGATACATCGTAGCCTGATATAAACAATCTAACCTTCGCGCAGGCTTCGTAGATACATCGTAGCCTGATATAAACAATCTAAGCAAGGCTATGCGAAGCGAACCTCTGAAGCAAAAGCATATTGTTTATTTGTATGTGCAGAAAGACTGCTGTAGCTTACTGGAATAAACAATGTATTGCTTGATAAAGCACAAGTTTAGATCGTTAATTTAAAGTATGGAGCTGTTTTTCAATAAGAAAAACGTACACTTGACTTCATGGGAGTCTCCTCTTCCACTCGCTGTCCACGACAGGAACTTGTTTGTACTGCTGTATTATTTTTTTAATTAGTTAGCCTAGCCTAGGTCTAGCCTATTTTTTATTTACAATTGTTTTACCTCTTTTAAATGTCAAAAAATTATGTCTTCAATGACAATACACACATGTGAAAAGATTGTTCATCAAATAATATTTTATAGTCTTGATTTAGTAAGATAAGTAATAAATATAAAGGAGAGTTAATGTCCGTAGGTTGTAAAATTACCGAATGTCACATGGAAAACACAGTGGGAAATAAAACTTAGCATGTTGTGGCAGTTCAATAACCCCGAAAATCCAGCATCGGATGTCAGAGTGCACGCCAATCAGAACACAGTAAAGTGTGTTAAAGGTTAACCTCGTGGCAAATGTTGAAAAGCTGTGAGCGACAGTGAGTAAAAAACGAAGGACATGCGGTCTAGCTTGACTAGCCTTAATTTGGCAAGGTAGTGATTTCTATATTTCCATTAGTATTGGATTGCTTTGCAGGTTCTGCTTCAAATTACGGTAAACAATATACAAAGGGATCTTTATCTAGAAATCGTAATAATTTGTAGATGATTTGTCATCAGTATTATTATTTTAAAGAAGAAAATTCCTACTACCAGAACAATAATATCAAATTTAAATTCTCCGAATTGGAAAGTTAACCAGTATAATCACTGTCTGCTCTCCTCCTCTATAGAGGAAAATGTAGGCCTAAATGACATCAAAATTCAAACATACCGAAGGCCTACTAGGTTACCTAGCTAGCGAACTAAACACAGTTTTAAAACATGATCGATTTAATATCAAGGTAGGAAATAACAGAACAATAAAGTTCTAACATTGTTTATTAGTAAATTGCAACATTGCTCACATGTCGAAAGCTGGTAAACTATATTTCAATATTGTTTACGCATTGTTTATCAGCCCGACGATCCAGCCTACGATCATTGCAAAGCTAATTAAAATAACAAGGACCTTCGTAGTGGTTCATAGCTACGTTCAAAACGTACCTACGAGCAGATTACGAGAGGTTACACGCAGATACAATGCGATAATTTCATCCCTGCCATGTGATTGTGGTCCCCACATTATACAGCTTTGGTTGATAAACTAATATTTTTTGGTCAATTTACACTTACTAGGCTATTACTTCGCAGTAATAAAAAAAAAATATGCATGTTTTGCCCTTTCTAAACTGTAAAATTGTCTTGATAAAATGCCTCCACTCATTCAAAAATTATCAGTTTCATTCTATGTCAAATGAACGAATGGGGATAGAGGTCACTTGGAATTTGGTGGAATTTGGCTGAAGTAATCAACAGTTATCATACAGCAATGTCTAAGTGCAAAATAAATGTTCCTACTAGCTCCTTGCAGTTGGGGCACTTCAAAATTTTCAAATATGCTTTTCAGGTTATTGATTTGTGTTTTGTAATGCCCTACAACAGAGCATGATTAACATGAAACAAAGCTGAAAATTAGTACCTTTAACCTGTAAAACTCAAGTATCTCATCCCATTTTCTTTCTACAAGCTGCTCAAAGCACAAATTTGTTTTGCCATTAGAAATAATTTCCATGTTGACATAGCCACATAAAAATGCTTTGTATTGCAACAGTATTTTTACCTTAAAACCTTGAATATTTCATTTTCATTTCATTTATTTTGTCTATTGAACACACAAAACAGTTTCAAACTCGGGAAGACAGGATAACCAAGAGTATACTAATTTACTGTCAAGTGGCTCTCCAAACCGAAAGAGAAACAGGAACAAAAAAGAAACATAAAATAGGAAAAATAATCCACCTGGCTGGAGATGATATAATAGAAGCCCCGGGATTCTTTTTTTTTTTTTCCCGAACTTTGGATGGGCTTCTTTTTGAGGTGGCCTTCTTGTCAAGGCTACTTGTTGCGAAGTAAAGAAGCGGGCTTCTTTTTAAAATGAATGCTGTAAATTTTAGGAATAATTACTGTTATAAAACAATAAATAAGGTCACTGTAACTTCAGTCTATATTATAGAGTGTATTAACCCACATTATTTTATAAATTCACATGTAGTTATTCTCCATGTCAGAAGAATACTGTAGTGCCGTAAGTGTAATCTACATCTAGATTGAATTTTGTTTTTGAGTGTCTCCTTATTGCGAGGCAGCATTTTGAAATTAAAATATTATCATATTTTTTTCCATTTTTATAATTTAGCAATTTTTTGAGGCAGCATTTCAAAATTTATGTATTTCCTTGATCTGCACATAATATGCAAGGTGCCGCAGTTGTATTAATCGTGCTTTAAAGCCAATAATATTAATTATTGTTATATCATCTCCAGCCCGGTGGATTATTTTAATTAAAATAATTAACTTTTTAACTTTTTTTTATTTTAAGGTAGTTTATTTTTAAAGTCCTTCTATTAACAAATATAAATTTTTTTCATTATACAGTATTTTTAAATTGAATTAATTGCCTTATTATATAATTTTCCAATCAGTTGTCTTTTTTACAATCCTTTTGACCTTTTTAAAATCTTTTTGATATTCTGTCTGTATATCACATATTTTAAAATAACTGACAGGTAAACACTATCCTTAACTCTGCTCAAACAAAAGATATCAGAAGCTTGCCAACTTACTGTATAGTAAAGTCTAATCCTAATAATATTATGATAGTGCTATATAGTACTAGTAAATTATAATTACATGCTTTAAAACTGAAGCTTATTTCACTAGTAATCTTTTTTCTTTACAGACACCATATGAAGGAAGAATTTACAGCTTGCAAATGGTATGCGGCCCCAAATATCCAGATGCACCGCCAACTGTACGTTTTTTAACGAGAATAAACATAAGTGGAGTAGCTGCAAATGGATCAGTAAGCTATTTTACTTTACTTGGTTTTTAAAATGAATCTGTTTCAGTTGTTACAGTACTCTCTCTTAAGCAGTGGCGTATGTAGAAGTCTTGAAATGGGGGTGCTGATGGGGGCGCATAAGTGAAATGGGGGGAACAATGGTCAGTTGAGAGGCGCTAATTCACAAAATAAGGTGATTTTTAATTACTTGACTGATTTTTATGGGGCTACTGGGGGTGCGCAAGCAATTTTTTGGAGGGGTGTGCACCCCCACCCCGCGCACTCCCATAGATAAACCACTGCTCATAAATACCCACAAAATACCACATATCTAGCACACAATGGTTCTGCAAAAAGCAACTCAAGAACGATAATACCAATACTGATGTGCAAATCGAATAGACGAGCGGTTAGCAGGGGCGCCGCAACCTACAGCCTTTATATCAACGCTGGTTCGAACAGCACGCTCGCCTATGGTTCTGGTGGCAGATTCAGGGCAGCGCTGTCCCCTATTCCTGTAGCCGGAGGGTCATGGTGATGTCTTTCCTGATCCTGACTCCACACCCACCAATAAGATTCAATAAGATTCATTAAGATTCAATATGATTCATTAGATTTAAGTTATTTGAATATGTCTCTTTGGAGTTTCTTGTTAGTTTACTTTTTTCTTTATTCCTCTCTGAAATTGTACCTTGATCAATCACTTGAATTTCATTTGTACCCTGTTGTTCAAATGACAATAAAGAATATCGTATCGTATCGTAGAACAATTCTTCTCGGATAAGGACTAACCGTAGGCCCAGTGTATACAATGGCTCATATGCACTATAAAGAACCCAGTACGAAGGGACCTTTAGGGGCAAAGAAAGTCATTGATCGAGTTCCTAGTTATCTCAAGCGCCCTGAGCATTTGATGAATATGGCGCTATATAAAACTACGGTGCTATGTAAAACTACTTTTTACAAAAAATTTTTTTTGTCAATTTTCCCTCCCAATAATTAACCTTAGGCATACATGTGAACATTGAACATACTATAAATTAGTATTAGTATATTAGTCTGTGTCACTGCCTCGGTTGTGGATGGTAAAAGACAAAAGGTGAAAACCACTGGAACCCAGAATACCACCTTATGTGGAGTATATGCTTATAGATGTTCACATAGAGAGATCGACACTGACTCAGTTCTGGAAGTTATTGTGAACTTGAGTTCACATTGTTTTTGAAAATTTTTAAAACGTCCATATGCGAGCTAAGAGCCAGAGTGTACTCTTTTGTACCAGGCGGACTGTCCTATATAAATTTTTATGTTATATTTGGATAAAATTAAATAAATAAATCTGATTTTGATCGTTGATTTTATAGCTTGATCCAAGGTCATTCCATGCATTGGCTAAATGGCAGAGGAGTTATACTATGAAGAGCCTTTTAAGTGAGTTTAGAAGAACGATGGGATTAAAAGAAAATATGAAGCTACCTCAACCACCAGAAGGATCAGTGTACAGTGAAAATAGCTAATAAGTACCTTTTGCTTCAACCTGAGAAAAATAAACAAAGACAAAAAATACACATCAAATTAGCATTTTTAATCACAAAATATAAAAATGTGCGATTATTTGGGTCTTTGTTTAATAAATGTTCGGTCCGTGGATAATAGCACTTGGAGGTAACTTAGCCTCAATATGTTAAGCGAAGAGGTAGGAAACTAATGTTGATGTAAACTAGTTAAATGTTTGTCCATTTGATAAGGACTTATTCTAATGATTCCATGAGATGCGCCTGAAATAAATAACCTAGCTAAATATTTCCGGTACTGGAATTGGTATCAGATGCACTAGCTTCTTATTATTATTCTCAAAACCAGGATAAAGTTGCAAGGTATTCTGTAGAAATATATAACTTCGAGTTTATGCAACAATTATCTGGAATTTGCCCATATATTAGCTTGGTAATGCCATATATCGCCCATATGTGGGCAAATTGAAAGTGTTCATTAATTCAATTTAGTAATGTGTACACAGCATGTAACCAAGGAGCAAATAAAATTGTTGGTATACACTGAGAAAAACATCATCAAAATAATATGTATGTAGAGGTTGTACAAGTTACGCATGACAGCACAAACAGTGAACAAAGTATGCTATAGCATGTGTTAAAACAATATAAAAAATTGTAGTGTGTAGTTTTTAAATTTGGTTTTTTTTCCCCAGATATCAAAAATTGTTGATTTCCAACCTCGCAACTTTACTGATTTTCTCACCTTGCAACTTTGTTGGTTTGTGGGAACCTTTCACATATATATCGTAAATATTCATCATATTCAACAAACAAACATGAATGTCATTCAACAAATTAAGCGTTGATTTGTGTCCCAACAACTACAATATTTTCTGATTGTGCATTGTTACCGTATTGCAATAGCATCAGTTTCGTAAGGATGGATGGATAGCTAGATCTATCGTTAAGTTTCCTTTGCAATTATAGTGTCCTTTCTTAAACAGAATGCTGTGGCTATATTTGGGAGCAATAAGAACTTGATTAAAGAGAAAAGATAGGTAAAACCAAAATTGCTTGTTAGCAAAGAGTGAGGGAGAAAATTTCCATTCGGCATTTATAGAATGCAACCATGTAGTGCTGTAGAAATGGAATAGAAACGATATATACAGGATGTGTGAGTGCATAGTTACTGACAATTTAATTCCAAACAGTTTTTTTCTGGTTTGTATTTCATGTAAAACAATAACATTATGAATGCTTGCACAAGTTAGCGTCAGTCATTATAGGTTTTAGGTAAATGCATTGTTTTTAAATCTAAATTATTAATAAATTTGGCATATGATTTTATTTGATGGGTGCCTCTAGTTGTTCGTAGGAACTGTGTATCCGTATTATTTTGTTTATACAAAATTAACAGATTTGAATCTTTCACCATCTATATTCTTGGATGTTAATCTGATTTAATGTTGTTATACAATGAACATTCATTTTAAATATACTTGCTAACCTGTTATGTATCTTTTTTGTCTAATGTACAGGAGATATTTGTAAAACTCCAAATGTTTGGTAGTTAGTAATAATGCAGAATACAGGATTCTGTATTTTCTAGGCTTTGCTGTGGAAGTCAATAATGTTATGTTTCTGGTTAATAATAACAGTGAGCATATTAAGAGTATTTAACATTGTCATTCTAAATATTGTAATTATTTCTTTTGATTGGAAACAAAAAATAAAACATTAATCACATTTTGGTGAATATAATTTTCCATTTATCCAATAATAATAATTGTTGATCATAATAATCAAGAATAGCATTGGGCTCACAATGTAAAAGACTATGAATTATATTTTAGTTCCATTGCTCACTTTAATCTGTAATTTCTCTTATTCACAATTAAAATGATTTAGCATTGGAATTTGTAAAGCCTTTTAGGATCTATGTTGTCCAGTGCATTGGTAAATAAAGCAAATTTAACTGTTTGGTTGTATACACATGTAGTTAGCCTCTATCATATCTATTTTCATCGGATTTATTATGTGTAACATGTTTCAAATTATAAGGAAGGGAAAATATATGTGGCAAAGACAAGCCAAACAAATCCTTTATATATCATGCTGTGCTATTATTTTCCCCATGTTTAATGTTAAAACTACATCTTTTAAAGATTTGCTGATGGTTTCTGCCTGGAAAAGCCCAAAATCATAAAACTTTGGAGACTGATTTCTCAAATATTGTTCTTACATAGCTGTATGTTTAAACTTCTGTAATTTCATAACAAAATGTTGAACTTAAATGATTCTTTTACCATTTTATAGCTCTCATTTTACTCTTTAACCCTGTATTAATAACTAAAAATCTATTTTTGTGACTGGTTTGGCTGGTCTTTGTCACATATAAAGTTAACCATGAAGATAGCTTTAAATAATTGGAAAAGACAAAATGAGTTATGTTATGTTGAAAGTTTGCTGTTGTGCCTCAGATATATTTGTATTTATTCAATTTTTAGGCAGTTGTGTGTTTGCATATTCACTGTTGGCCCACATAATGCAGAAGAATGGGAGTTAATACATTTATTTGATCTTTGTTCTGTAGTAGAACCTTTAGAACTTGCTGTCAAGAAAAAAAATCTAAAAATCTGACCACACTGATTTGCCTATATATTGGCATGATGATGTCACATGACACATATGGGCAAGTCACATGACACATATGGGCAAGTCACATGACACATATGGGCAAGTCACATGTATTTGTCCCATAAAACATGATAGTGTGAACAGAGCTTAAAACTCTGTCCACATTCAAATTTTATGCGACAAATTTCTGTGATGTGGCCATATATATAGGCATGAAGAAGTCATATTTCACCCAAATATTGGCTTGTTTGTGCCGATCTGCTACATATTCCTAAGTTTTTAAAAAAATGTAAGTTCATTTTTTTTGTCTGCATAAGTTTCTAAATAAAACAGACTTATAACTAACAGACCAGAAATTGATAATTTGGAGTGAAATGGTTTGCATTGAAAAAAAAGTGTTTTAATGACCTATAAATGTCAGAATATTAAGGCCTAGTTCAGACTAGGTGGATAAACCCAGCTCAACTCACCAGGTTTATCCACCTTCCAGTCTGTACTAGGTGGTTTATCTCAAGCCGGGCGTGGTTGCTATACTGTAGATGCTAGTCTAGGTGTACAGAAATTGATCAATCAGCGTTCAATGATGTAGTGGCTGGCATGCTGTAAGCAAAAATACGTCTCGCATGCAATGTTTTGAAAATCATTTCCTGGTTCCAGTTCATGAATATGTAAATTTAACTTCTGGTTCTCGTGCATGGCTAATCCAGCAAGTCTGAACGCCGGGCTTAACCTTGAGCCTAGCTTAATCTAAGCCTGGCTTATCTCCAAGTCTGAACGTAGCCAAATACAATTAAAAAATACGTGTCTAGAAAAATACTTGCTGTGGAACTGTCAGTGACACAGAAGTACAGTACTATATGTTTAGAGGTTACAAGACCAGGGTTTTTTTTTTCTATATGATATTAATCAATTATTATAAATATCTAGTAACTACCTTGGGAAAGTTAGATTGAAACATTTTAATTCAACTTAATAGTACAGCACAATTGTCTTTCTGAAGCCAGTGGACAAGGAAACTTGATTGCCAAGCTTATAAGGTAAACGCTGGTTTGAGTGGCACGTTTGCCAATTATTAGTTGAACTGGTCTTCTTTGATTAGAAGTACAAACTATTGTACACTGTAGGCTCATTTGCACATCATTCACAAAACAAGTGACGTAGTGGTCCATACCAGGGCCACTAGCATTTCTTTCCAATCATGCAAAAATTTGCATAAACATAATATATTTTCACCCCCTGCATCTGCTCCAGCTTAGGTAGGAAGAATAGTAGTATCAGATTTGACCGATACATGTGCTACAAAAAGCAGAGATCTGGTAGAGAGTGAATGATTAGGTAACTTGTAGTACTGAATTACACTCCAGGGAATAGATGATGTTTTCACATTGTGTATGCAAATTATTTTGTATCCAGTGACCATTGGAAAAAAACACCTTGAGCAGTTGTTTCAGAAATAGATGTGTGCTACTAAATCCAATATAAATAGTGGATTGATCTAGCACCCCTCACCCAATCATCATTATTATTAAAGCCTTACTAGGCCCTGTGAGAGAACAGTAAATATCTACTGAACAGGATACCCAGTGAAAAGAAAAATAAATTCATAGTTGCACCACATCACAAATAGAAAAAAAAAATCTCTGTAAAAATAATTTTATTCTGAATTGCATACTTGTCTATTATAATATTGTGCAAAATTCGAAAGTTTACTACATATCAGAATCAAACTCTCAATAAATTTTACTAAAGTATCAATTAGAAATGGAGCACAACAGATCTGTACAATAAACATCTGCATACTGTTTAATCTTTAAACTTGATTAAAATTTTCTAATCAATAACTGAATACATTCATGATTGCTAACGTGAGTACATAGGAACATTTACATTTAGGAAGACAACTTGGAAGACATCTGCAGTAATTGGTTTGAGTGGTGGTGCCAGTGTCCAAGAACACAGGATCCCCATTGTGGAACCCTGGATGTCCTGTCCGGGAAGAAGCCGTTCATTTCAAAAAGTATCTTGACAGTCTGAGAGTGACTATTCCTAGGCTGCATCATCAGCTTCAAATATGCTGGGTGGGTTTAGTCTCCTCACTGAGAACCTTCGCAACTTGCCGGAAGAATGTCTGGTACTACCACTGATCTGTTTTATTAGCAACACCATAGGCTCAGCCTTACCAGTGATGCTAATCAATAATAAAATCTTAAAACATAAAATTGCCAATTTTTGGCAGCTACTTAATTAATTTTATCATATCCTTTAAATATATGGAAACATTATTTGTCTCATGTTACACAATCTGACAATAAAACTGACTTAATTTACTAAATGAGAAGGTATTATTGTATAACATATAATTCATCAAAAAATAGTAGGACCCAACAGAAAGCATATGTTATTTTTATTATTTATTTATAAATATGAATCGGGGATTGCCAATCGATAATAAATCCTATATGTACAACGAATTTAAAAGAAAAAGATTATATCGAAAATAAAATTTGAATATATGCTCTAGCTCTTACTAAAAAAAGACTTAACTATGCAATAAAAGTCTATAAGGTCACATAAAAAAATCTATATAAATGTAATTGTTAACAAATCACACTATACATTTTCACTAAATAATAAATTTCAGTTTTCAATATTGATAAATCATTCTGAAATCTATTATTTCAATATATTTACACAAAGCACTTGATTATAACAATAAATATGTCATAGCAAGTTGGTATTCAAATATTTTACAAATGTACAGTGAGTTTTTACTGCAGAAGTTTTACTACTGTCATTGAATTAATTGTTTGACAAAACAGTTGAAATACTTGAGAGTGAAAACTTTTTTGTTTTTCTTAATATCAGGGGTCCTAAGTCTCGTGCAACTACTGTAACATATCTCCTGAAAATTAATTATATTCCAATGTTTCTACTACTGTATTATCAATTGTCTCTGGATGTCAGCTGGTGATAGCAAAATAAAGCTTGATGTGTTAAGAAAGCTCCTGGAAGTGATCTTAGATCTTGGGACCCCGGAACATGTTCTGCTTGAATGAATATTAAGTTCTGGTCAAAGGTGATGAGTCACATCAAAGGAGACACTCCAACGGATATTTAATTTATAATAGGGATTCAGTGCCCAAAAGAAAAATGAACTCACAAAAAATAAATCATGTAGTGGTTTAGTGCACTCCCCTTTGAACAGACAGGCCAACCCTACAAGGCCAACAAGAGTAGTCTGAAAACCTTTTGAGGAGTTTTGGCAATGTCAGCGGAGTATGTTAAATTTTTTCCTAACACATATGGTACCAATGTGATCAGGTATTATTGGCATATTTTAAATGGCATTTTGACTCATAAATAACTTTACATCAGCAATACCTCCGTATGAGACTAGGAGCACAAATTACTTTTTCATATACAGTTGTTCAGGATGAAATTAACTGGTCTTGTTCTTTTCTAAATCTAAATAATAAAATCAATCGATTTTATTATTGGAAAATGCTGATTTATTTCAGCCGGCCGTAATGCGTAAAAAGCAGAGATTGTCGACCCAAAATTGGAGTGCAGAGTTTTGCTTGAATAAATGGAGTAACTCCGCCGAAATCTGAGTGGTTGTCATGTCTGTTTCAATCCCAAAATTCTGGGTTCAATCTTTGCAAAATATTCTCCTAACCAAAGCAATTGCAACTTTTATTCCTTGTAAAAAGTCCTGATTTACTAGTGATAAAAACTTGTATAATCATATTGATAGAAAAAACAAATGTAATATAGTGATGTGTTTAAGAATGAGCACTATGTTCTTCAAAATATGTTGGCTAGTTCCTGAAACACACATTTTATTAAAGGTGTATTGTGAAATTGGTGCAGTGCCAACAAACACCTTCAACTACACAATTAAAGTTTTCATTTCCTGCCTGTATAGGCTAGTATTCCTGTCATCCAATTCACAGACTCAGTTTTTGAAGGCGCCCGGAATTTGTAGACACGTTCTTCTGTCTCTAAAACAATGATACGTTCATCTTCCCCTTCCACGGTGCATGGGCAATCACGTAAGTATATGGACTCAACACTGCGGTCATTCTTTTTCTTGGAATAATGTAAATGGCCGGTCTGTGCCAACTCAAAATAGCGTTTGTTCCAAGTTTGATTTCGGCCTGAGCTTAATTTTTCCATATATCCCTCTTTGGTTGGTTTTTTGTTTGATTTCTGGGGAAAAAAAATATTTTCAATGAACAATAATAAAAAGTACAGGTAATTAAAAAAGTAGTAATTCATCTACAAACATGAAAAATCCAATTAGTGGATTAGAGATTACCAGAAGTGAACGAGTGACAGAAAAAATTAAATGGCAAGATGAAGAGATTCTGTTGAAGAAAAAAGTCATTACAGCATGGAAGACCAAAAACAAACAAATGATGATGTTAGATAATGATGTATGTTGATGATGATGATGACAGATAATAAGTAGTCTAAGAAAAAGAAAGAAAGTTTGGTAATAATAATGACTGGGAATTTATATAACGCATAATGTAAAGACCTATGTGCTTTTACAGTGGAAATTTGGGTGGTAAGTTATTCTTTTGATTCTATCAGCTTAGTATAGTATCGCGTACCTTAGCACCATTTTTGCTTGATGATTCCTTTTTGGTCTTTGGCTTTTCCTTCTTGTTAACCCGCCTAAGCTCCTTTTCAAACGTAGACATACCAGCCTCTTTCCTTGCTTTCTCACCAAATGCCTTGCGTAACTCTTGGACGTGCGTCGGCGTACCAGATGGCGAACGGAATATAGTCTGACTCTCCATACTACTAACCGAACTCGATCTTTCAAGTGTGCTACATTCCTCCGACTCTGAGAATGTGTCTGTTTTCATGGATTGCGACAACTGGAATTTTGTTGCACTAAAAAAAAGTAAAGTAATAAAAGAATATAATTTAAAAAAAATAGCATGCAATATACATACAGATATATAATCTTTCATTAACCATGTAAAAACAAGACATAACAATGCTTTATAGACTTCAAAGTTAATAATCATATTAAATCTCCTTCTTGATTACTACCAGAGACAACACCATGGGTGGGAAGGAGCCTCTCATTAGCCACGACACGTTGGACCAGGGAAAAAAAAAATTCTGAAAAGATCAAAATGATCTACCTGTGTAAGGCTGCTGCATCAGCTGCCACCAGAAGATCAACTTCCTTTTGGAAGTCTTTAATAAAAGCATTAACACCTGAAAAGAGTTCTTCAGAGTCGGTGTTCAAAGACTCTCCAAACCGGGTCTGCAAATATCAAAAGAACATCAATTATATGTATAAAAATAATACAACAGGAACATAGTCTATGGGCAGTAGGGGGTGGATTATTCAGTCTGGTTGATTGTGTATATTAGCATTTTAATTGAATGCTTTTGTTATATATTTGTTAGACACAGCTATATAAGAACAATTATGTGCTTGTTTGTTCAAGACTTTTATGGAGAGATGAATGTGTGTATGGTTAACTGAATAATAAAATATAGGGAAGAATACTGAAGGGATAAAAGAATAAATGAATGAATGAATGGATAGATGGGTAGATGAATGAATAAATAAATGAATGAATGGATGAAGAGAGGTATAAATCACTAAAGGGAAGGATAAAAGAATTAATGATTAAATGAATGCATGGATAAATGAATGAATGAATGAATGAATGGAGGGATAACGAATATAGGGATGAAGCAATGTATGACTGATAATGAGTTACTTGATTGACTTACTAAAACTAAAGTGTATGCTGTACCCATCTCTTCACTCTTGCTTGACAAGGTTGCCATTTTAGCATCATAATGCTCAACAAATGACTGAAAAATAATTAAATATACTCTATTCATAAAAACATTAATACAAAACTAGAATGCACATGAAGACTGATTGCTTTAAATATAATGCAATAATTATAACTGATGAAGAATATAACATGACAAATACTGTTTTAATTGAGGAAAAAATATTATAAATGATATATGGTGGAAGTGATGTTTTGCCATACCTGACGTGTTATGATATATGGTGGTTAAAGAAAAAAATGTATTGTCCCCATTGGGGTACGACCCAGTACCTTCTGACTACCGGCTAATCTATGAGAGCAAAATTAATGTACTCCCTTTGACTTTCTCATTAGGATATATTTTCCCCAAATATTACATATGCAATAAATATATCAAATAATCTTAAATTATATATAAGGTTATTTTTTGATGCTTATTTATGAAAGAAAAAGGTAAATCTAAAACAGTTGTAACCTCATAGGTTAGAGTGTCCATCAACCTTTCCATAGCAATTGTGCCAGATTGTGCTAAGTTTTGTGTTGGGTTAAAGTGGGAGGGGAGAGGGGGAGATGCCACTCCTGCAAAACAAATGTGTTAACCTTCAAGGCTTCCATGTACATTTATTACTATCAATACACTGAAAAGTAATATAATTACACCGAAAATTAGAACTACCATTACTTCTCAATGTGAAAATCAATCATGAAATAATATAAAAACCTTACATTAATTTGTGCACAAAAATTAGCATCTTCTTCTGAAGCCTCTTCATGGTTGAGAAGAATGGAAGCATTTTTGCGGATCTTACATAGGTCTTTCTTCATAATCTCTGCTTCTGCTTGTAATGCCTTGATCGATGCTAAAAAAATATTATTTACATTTGATTTATTTTTATCATCATTCATCGAACATAAAAATGTTATATAAACATAAAAACACTCACAATCAATAAAGTTATCTTGTTGACTATTATAATATCAAACCTGATCAATAAAATAGGCTCTGAAAATGGCAGCCTCAATACCTTTTCTCCTTCCCCCTACTCATTAATATCTTTTCATTCTTGTGACAATACAGCCAGAATCTTTTTAAAAAGTTATTGTATATTAATCCTGATATTAAAAATATCTAAAGTGAGCCCTCATTCAGCAATTCCTTGTTAGACAAAATTTGCAGACGTGAGACATTTTGGCCCTTAATCGTGACAACGTAAGACAGACCCTGAATATGCCAGTCTTATGCCAAATGCATAACACTTGGTAGGTCTGGCCCTCTATATTCCTGAATACCACAGCACCATACGACTCCTCTCTCTTACTTTCTCCCTCAACAAAAAACAGATTCTTACCATCTGGAACTTTGGTGATAGGTAGAAGGTCATCCATTATGTTCAGCAGGTCTGGTTCCTGTTGGTACATTTGTTCAACTATAAACTTCAGAAGAGTGTAGTTCTTGTCTTTTGATCGACAATCTGTTAACTTATTTAAATAAATTAGAAAATTATTAAACACTGTCTATATAATTACAGTACTATTCATTAATCTATTAAAAACAATTTTTAATTAAATTACAAAATAATTACAACTGTATAACATTTTGCTGACTTGTGCTTCCCTAACCATAAAAAAAATATATAGTTAACCTAATCAATAATATATAATCCACATCCTTTTCAAAATAACGTAAGTTAACTAGCTCTGAATCAAAAAAATCTATTAGCACATGAAGAATATATCCGTAACTGTACTTGTCACATTTTTTATAGAGCCTCTTACCTTTGTTAATGCAGACAGCCTGAAACCAAGAGCCTGTCCTTTACCAGTGGTACTATTCACAAAGTTACCTGTCGCCAAAATGTACTCAAGGACAGCAATGAACCTCTGGTTACTGTACAGTTCTTTGCATGCTTCTATAACATTTCCAATAGTCTGTAGAAATTAAAATACATTTATAAAATATATATTAAATGCATGGATAAATGAATGAATGAATGGATGGATGGATGGATGAATGGATGAGTGGACGGACGGATGAATGAATGGATGAATGAATAAATGAATGGATGATTGAATAAATGAATGGATGAATGAATAAATGAATGGATGAATGAATAAATGAATGGATGAATGAATAAATGGATGAATGAATGAATACCGTACTCGCGCGAATAAGCACCCCTGCACGAATAAGCACCCCTTTTGAATAAGCGCCCCTTTTGAATAAGCGCCCCTCTTGAATAAGCGTCCCTCGAAAAGTGAAAATTGTCTTAAGCGCCCAGTTTGAATAAGCGCCCCTCCTAATTTGAATAAGGACCCTCTGTGTTTATTCAATTTTTAAAACAATATTTTGTGATTGATTTTTTTTTTAGCAAACGATAATCTGAGACTGTAGTTGGCATGATTTGAGCTGCGAATTGGATTCACATTTTCTTATGTTAATTTTAAAATGAGGATTTTCTCCTGGACAGATGGAAGCTCCCTGAATAGTATCTTTCCAACTTTCCTCTTCTTACGTTTGTCTACTTCTCTTTTTCTTTTCCCGACAATTTACGTTTTCATGTGAGTTTGCAAGACTTAAGCCTGCAATGATCCTGCTAATCTCAATCGGTAGATGGCCAACAAGCTTATACACCACCACCACCACCAATTTCATCTGCTGTTGAAACTCACAGCATTCCTGTCACGAGCCATGCTTTCTGGATGATTATCTTTTCTGCACCAGAACCATTCGTAATCTTCAGTTTCCAGATGTCCTTATACAATCCTTTTTTCATTCAAAAAGCGCCCATTAAAATTTCAAAGTTCCCAGAAGAACCCTTCAATTTTAATATATTTCCATAAGCGCCCCCATTTAAATAAGAGCCTCGTTTGAATAAGCACCCCTTAGAAAGTGCAAAAAACATTTTAAGTACCAGGGCGCTTATTCGCGCGAGTACGGTAAATGAAAGAATGAATGAATGGAGGGATAAATAATGAATGAAGCAATGTATGACTATATGGTTAATTGACTTACTAAAACTAAAGTGTATCTATTAATTAAAATTATCTTATTTAAAATTATCTTATATAAAGTGTATCTATTAATTAAAATTATCTTATTTATATTTGAAATGGTAATAAATTCAATAATTATATCCAGGATTTAAATTTAAAAAAAAAAACCAGAATATGAGGGAAGGGCCATGGTTTAATCATTAACTTCTCTGGCTTAGCCATTATTAACTGAACCAAGAAGTTATTATAGCATTCCCTGATCGAAAGTGGGCTTACCCTGGGTAAATATGGTGTACAAGAGAGGAGTGTAATCACTCATTGGTTACACTTGAAAGAGGCATTTTAAGATTTCACATATAATTTTAACAATTATGAGTCTGTAACATTCCATCTTCAATACCTGTTTCTAATGTAAACATTCTCAGATATGCAGTATGTGATCTGCTCCAAAGTAACAAATTTCATGAGACAAATAAATGTGATATGCCCATATTTGGGTGTACTAAGACATTATCATGCTCATATAAGGGCACAACACACAAATTTGTCACATGAAATGGACAGAGCTTTAGAGACTGTACAAGTCTAATAAATCAAATTTGTGAGGAAGCAACCTAAATTATATTTCTTCCTTCCCAAGGTCATGTAACATTCATGTTCTGATACTCCTCATGTTATTATTGGATACCCCCAGATATTATTATTGGATGTACAGATGCAAACTAGATTAATGCCAAGTCATATCTATTCAAGGAAAACTCTAAACTAAATCTGTAAACGCAGACTGGGAAATATAGATAACACATGTGTCAACCAAATATAGACTTGAACTGAGTATGCAAATTAGTTGTGGCGTGTCTGGTGTGTCTTAAAGTGTTTGATATCAGGGTGCAAAATGAAAGTACGTCTTAATTTACTACTACAGTTTTGATACAAATGCAGAAAAACATTTGAAAATATCAATAGCACTTATGAGTGTGTTTGTTAGAAGAGATTATATTCATATTTTTTATTTGTGTATTACACTCTAAGAATTAATATAAACTAATCTACTATAACATTTTTGTTGTAAAACACAGGGAAAATCACAAAGTGTCTGTTTTTTGCCAGGACAATTATTTACAATTTTGGAAAAAGTGAAATATCAAATTATACAGTCTACTGAAGCAGTATATGAATCTAATATACTTCAGTTATAATGTTTGTTTCTGGTGGAATTGAAGGCATTGGTCCAATAATATACACATGTACTAGTAAACAGTAGAACTTACTATAGTAGAACCCGCAACTATTAAAGTGACAACTGTAGGGACCAAAAAACGTGTCCCCTTAATGGGTGTCACCAGAGTAGGGTTAGATGTGTTAGAAGATAATGCAGTCGTTCGTAATTATAATATAAAGAAAAGATTATAACTATGATGAACCATCAACGATGACAACACTCCCAAGTTTTTGATTAGATTTTACAGAATAATAATTACTGATTAATGATAATAATAATGATGTTAATAATAATGATGTTAATAGTTTTCAGCTGTTTTTTGCTATTTATTTGCCTGATCATTTAAGGTTTAGTAACAAAAATACATTAAATAAATATTGTATATATTAACTATTGATGAACAATATTGATAATTGATGATTAATAATGATAATTAAAGAGCTAATAATTAATTTAATAATAATTAACAATCATGTAAATTATTTTTGATGATAATAAACATGAGCTATTAAGTTTATTATCGCTCTTTTTTAAAAGAGAAAGCAACACACACTGGTGTAAAGGATATAGATAATAATTAACGATAATTAATAATATTCATGTAAAATCATGTTGATGATGATATGTCAATTAAGTTTATCTATTTTTATAAAAAGAAAGAGACACTCACTGGTGCAAGATCTTCATACTGTACTGGAAACTCATTGACGGTGCTTAGAAGATCAAGACGAATACGTAGATTTGGAATACCGCACATGAGTATCATAAAACGATCTGTTGCTTCTAATTCGGTTGGATTACCATCATACGATTTATACATTTCCTTATCCTCGGTCGTTGGTTGGAACCTGGAATAGGAGAAAATCAGGAGAGGGAACAAAAATCAAGAACTGACTTTGAGGATACTGTTCGTCTTGACAATAATATGAATAATAAATATAATAATAAAAATAATAAATCTAAAAGTTGCTGAACTTGTTCAACATGTAAACAAAAAATTACCAATATCAATATAATTATTCTTGAAAATCCAGATTTTTTGCAAAGCAATCTTTTTTATAAACCAAGGAGTAGTATATAAACAATCACATTCACTTGACGGTTTTCACTACTCAAGACGCACCTTTTTTAATAATCTCTTTATTGGAACGGCACCAAGAGCAACGTCTATTGGCATGGTGCCATATAAATGGAATTGATGTTGATTGATTGAATGATAAAACCCAATTTAAATCCAAACTTAGACTTTAAATGGTGCATAATAATTAAATTTCTATGCAACAAAGAAAAAGGGAGAAAACAGAAACAAAAATACATTTTTTATTTGTTTCTAATGCTTTCACATTATGGTTCTATAAAATGATCCTGTAACCATTGCTCCCCACTATCTATCACATTGAAGTACAGAATGCAAGTCTTTAGAATGGCATAGCATGATCGCCTAGAACCTTTCTCTTCAGATATGAAGCACTTTATAATTGTTCCAAAAGGCCAAATTTTAAGCTTTAATTAATAAATTTAATACAATGGAAATTAGCCCTAAGATTACCATTTCACCAGCCAAATGTACGGGTTCAGTGATAGTTGGCAACTCCAGAATTGGCCTCCCATAGTTAAACAAGAAAAACAATTGCCAACCTTAATATTTCTTGAAGATTTGCATGGCAAGTATCTATAATTAAATAATTGAACTTTTGGTACACTATGTGTAATGATCTGGTTTTTGAGATAACACAACTGGCTGATTGTCTCAACATTTTGGTGAGATTTTTCTTATTCTCCTGATGACGGTCAGAGAAATCTCAACAAAACTTTGAGACAAGTGACCACTGGTTTTAACCCAACTATCATATTCTTACACATAGTATACCGAAAGTTTAATTAATGCCGAACCCTAGTTGCTAAATGTTACTGTGCTTGTGCAACTCAATTCTTTTAGCCTTGCATCATTTTTAAGTAGAAATATTAATATTATTAATAATAATTATATGAGTAAAGAAGTGGTTTTTGCCTTACCTTCTGAGAGCTGAGATATGTTCTGGTGACAAACCGCCGTCACATTCGTAAAGGATCACTAATCGATTCTTTAAGTCATTCAAATCAATCTTGAATCCGCTCAGGAAGATTCCAAGATTCTGAGCTAACTTCGGATCAAGCAATGTTTTAATCTTCTTCTTCACTGTGTTTTGTACAACTGAATAATATAAATGAAGAAAATCAACAACAAATAACAACATCAACTTACATGTAGGAAGGGTTTCAACTAGGGCCCCAGTCTGAAGTGAGGGTAATTTACTGCAATTGTCATATACGCTTTACTTACTAAATTAATTGTACAGTACTTAGTTTTGCCATTCCATGCCTGGATATATTTTACTGTCAAATATTATTTTTTGAGAATATAGGAATACAATTAAATTACAGACTGATTTCAGATTCCCAACTAACAGATAGGATATCTCGTATTTTAAGACTATGCTAAACATTATTAATCTTTAATAATACAAGTCAATTTGACTTCTTCAGACATTTTTGGTACCCATTGTCATCACATTCTGAACATCGGGCTCGGTAGTGCGGAGTACTTAATATTTACATTATGTAATATTAATAGCTAAATCAACACGTCAGAATTGCCAAAATCTTTTAATCAACACCAGATGTCCTCAAGTGTGTGCCTATTCCATGATCCAATACAGGTGTTCACACTTTTTCTTGCCAGCCCTTGGGAACTGCTGGGGGACCCCTGGACAACGCGCCCTGGTTTAATGAACCGGCCCCTATTTCTACGTGACTGCTACATATATTATACTGTTCTATACTCAAAAAGAGCAACACTCTCAACATATAATTTAATAAATAGAGATAAATATTAAACAATGTTTCAATAAAATATATACCAGTTTGCACTTTTCCATCTTGCGAACCAAATATTGCTTCTAATTTTACTAAGTCCAGTTTACAGGTAACGTCTCGTGTATCCTTCCAAACACTGGTGCATACCTAGGCAATGTAAAAAAAAATAAAATTACTTCATTAGAAGTAATACAGTAATAATATTTTCATCAATTTTTTTTATTCAACTTTTTGGCACAAGGTCAAGAATATGCCAAACAACAAACTTCATCACTTAAATGGTAATCTCTTTCACAAGACAAACATACACAGAAGGTGCTCTTCATAAACTACCTGAAGTCTCATTATGAGTGGACTTATTTTTGGTTGTTAGAAAAATCTGGTTACCATGACACAAATTTAATACAGGACCCTGGGACTGGAAGGCAAGCATCTTAACCACCAAAATATTCATCTAAACTAATTTCTTAATGTATAAATATAAATGTGAATAGCAACAACATGTACATTTTGCTTTAATTCTTTTAATTTTTTAAATTATAATATTGTAATGAATTATAAACACACAATTGTCAGTTGTGTATGGTGAACATCTTAAATATAAATACTGGTACTATGTATATATGAGTGAAAATATAAACTGAAAAACATGAAAAAAGGACAAATGATGTGGGTGACACTCATGAAAAAAAAAAAAAAACATGTAAAAATATATACAATAGGTGAATTGTATATAATTATAAGTGGAAGCCTCATTCCTGTTTGGATTGTTGAAAGGAGATATTAATAAGTAAAAAACAAACAAAAAATAACAGTGTTATCATCCATTTACAAAAAAAAACTCTAATAATAAGCATTATGCGTCAGTTAAAAATAATTTATTATAATCTACACAAATCTGTTCAATCCAGCTTTTATATCATCATGGGAAATCATTGCAAACATGAACAAAAATCCTGAGTTGACATACATCTTAATGTCCTAGTTCATACTCATGACCTGATCTCAAACTGGCTTTCCCTTAAAGGAGTGATCCTAATACGGTGAGTATATATTAAATACAGCAAAGAACTTTATCATCCATTCACAAAAAACTCTAATAATTAGCATTATGCGTCAGTTAAAAATATTTTTTTATAATCTACAAAAGTCTGTTCAATCCAGCTTTCATATCACCATGGGAAATCATTGCAAGCATGAACAAAAATCCTAAGTTGACATACATCTTAATGTCCTAGTTCATACTCATGACCTGATCTCAAGCTGGCTTTCCCTTAAAGAAGTGACCCTAATACGGTGAGGATACATTAAATACAGCAACTTTTTTTTAAAGTCCTTTATCCACCCAAACATTGTAGCTCATGCTGATTTTGCACTGCAAGATAACATTTTACGTTTGCTGGGTACGGTTGTCAGAACTTCTAGAATGGTTAAAATGACACTGCCATGCTTTCATCGTTCTATGACTCAAAATTTAAATATCCTCAGCTTTCTGTCCTATATATAATTGGTTAAAACAACATATAACCAGACCTTTATTGATAGCCCATGCTGACCATTATTCAAGTCCATGGGCATTTGTTTGTTTCCCTTGGCAAGGCACAATCTCATACTCTATTCAGACATGCAGGTGGGTCATTGGAGGTTTCATTACCAATGTATTGATTGCAGACAATAAAATAAAATTATGGAATACCTCCTAGTGAGGTTATAGTTCCAAAGGTGATCGAATGAATGTGCATCAGCATGTGCTACGTATTGTCATTTTTTATTCTATAACTACTTGAAGAAATTGGCCTTCCATCTTTTCATGCCAGTTTTGATCTTGTTTAATAAGCTTTATTTGTATTTTGCTGCATGCAGTCATACTAACATAGTTATTTCATTTAAACAAACAGAGTAGTAAAAGAGGCGTTTGTGGGAGATGCTTGCTGTTAAAGCAAGCGTGGAACCGTGAAGATATCTGTGAAACTCATGCAACTCAGGAGAGGCTTGGGATCCTTGGATTATCTAGTGATGTGCATGTTCAGTAAAAAACTGACTACATTAAACTACATGAAAAAGTGAGACTGACACTGATGTATGATTAAACAAGAAACTTTTTGGACCATATTGAACAAGCTGCTCAACAGGTGTCCAGATAAAGGAATAGAATATGTTTCCTGTTTTAAACGTATCAAATAAAATCAATATGGTTTGTGAAAGAAAGATGCAATTAAAGATAAAGCAATGTAAGGCCCTGCAATGCAAAAAGCTTTAAATTTTGTAGTTCTTTTTTAATGTTGTGACGCTTGACAGTGTCTGCTTAGTATGAGCCAAGAATGGTTCAAAACAATTGTATTCATGTCTTGCATCATGTCACCGACCCCAATGCCTCATAGCATTTTAAATCAAATTTCTATTGAGGACCCTGGATCTACCTGATGTCAGCAAAAAATCAAATGGCCATATTTCTAGTGTTTTAACATACTGTATATAAACTGTACAAGTATTGAAAGGTCAATTAACAGTGTACAGTTATATACACCAAAATGATTGGTTTGATTTTCCTAGCCTAATGTACAAGGTAAATGAAGATTTAATTATTTTAATGTTAGTAAAAAATAAACATGCTAATTGTTTCTACAAACTTATGTTCTCTGTACAATTACGACTGTCCATCAATGGTAGCTAGGAAAGCATTCTACCCAGACAACAGTAGTATGATTAGAATACTCACCCACATCCAGTGGTGTATCTTAAAGTATAGATATGGGGGACAATATGGCCACAGTGGGAATGTAATGGATAACTATCTGGGTGAATGAAGTGATATGGAATGATTTTTAATTGCTTGAGTATTCTTTTTGCTCAACGAGTTTTCAATGGGGTATGGTGCAACCACCTCCTCACCTCCCCCCCCACCCATTGCCCTACAAACATCCAGTCTGAGGGGCAGAAAGCTGTACAAGAATTACTGCATAAATAAAGTGACCAAGGAACTGAAGCACTCTGAGGTGTCATGTATTACTGCAGGATGATTGCAGGTGCTATAAAATTATTACAAATTTAAAATATGTTACATTTTGATCCACAAATAAAATTTAAATTCAAATAAATCACAAAAATATTTTTCATATGATAAAAGAAACTCATATTATTTTACGACTGTAATTACTAAATTATCAAAGAGGGCTATTTCAAATTTATATTGTGCATGGCTAAGGGTCTTATATGAGGTAAACTGAAATAATAGTTCCCTCAGATTATCCTAATAGCCTAGAGTCTGGCAGCAATGTGTGGTAAACGGTAGGGTAAATTGTAGGGAATGCTGGGCTGGCACTGAAAACAGTTTTAAGTAGGGGAACAGTTTGATCAAAGGCTGCGATGTATCAAGTCAAAATATAAACTACTTTTACACTAGCATGATTGTAGCAATCATTGCACAAGTGGTGCATTTAAGTTGGAATTCTCCCTTATATGTCTATCTCAAATTTATCAATTTATCTAAAAAAAAAAAGATTAATATGAAAAGCAATACTTATAAGCCCCTAAAATTTTTTTTTTCCATAGAAACTACACCATAGCAACTAGGATGATTAATATTCTATGGCAATGATTGAAGGAAGTCACATGATGCAAACTGTGCGTTTATTTCTGGCTTAATGAACCTAACCTTTTTAGAGTTACTTCCTAGAAATCAATTATAAATATTTGCAAAAGCTCCTGTATCATAAATAGCCAGCTACACAGTTTGCATATTCCTGTAGCCAAAGTAAACATGCCAACGCCTTTCGTTTCATGTCACACCAAGGATACACTATCAATACACTGCTCATACTTGACACACAAGAACTGGGTTAAAATTCTGTAAAACATCAAGTCTATTTTCTGATTACTTACCTCAATAAACCGACTATTGCCAGTATAAACTTTAAATGAACATCCCTACAAAGAAAATAGAATGTTCCATCCCAGGGCACCGCATGACCGTAACAACACCCATGTGCCTGTCCTAATTTTTTTTGTTGTCACTGGCACAACAACACCTGACCAAGTTACTGAGCGAGTCTAGCACAGGTGTGTAAGAAATTGTTGAAGAGAATTTCAGAAATCCTTGTTTCATGGAAAAGATATCTAAATTTTTAAAAATTTTGACAATCTGAATTCAACCATCAAAAACAGAACGACTACTAACATTACTGCTGATTTGCTAATAAAAAAAGAAACTTCACTTTCTAGGATCTATTAAAGTGACTTGGAGCATCGTTCTATCCTAAAAATAATGAGTGTACTGTTAAATGTAAAGGAAAGTGAAAATTACTGATGATTTCTGTATTTTTTTTCCCAAAAAATTCCCAAAATAAATGAAATATAAAAGCATTTATATGGCAAGCACACTACTTACCATTGGCACTGGAGTCTTATTCCAATGGAATGGCCTCATTTTAACATTTGATTTAACTGTGAACTTGTGCTCGAGAGCATAAGCTACAGCAGGGGGTGGTGGAGGTGGGGGTGGGGGTACAGCACCTGTAATATCAAAAACATGAAATTGCTGTTAACTTGAGTAATGGACTGTTGAAGAATTCTGTAAGAAAAAAAGGATATTGTTGCAAGGTAAATCAGATTCAAAATTTGTTTTTGTAAGATAAGCTGCTTCTGAACAATGGAAAGCAATCAAAATCATACTTATACAATACATTCCACTATTTATTTAACTTAAGAATAGGTATTACCATTATCTGGCAATGGAGGTGGTGGTGTTCCTACAACTGATGCACCAGATAGATGTCCTGACGACACACCTCCTCCACCAGAATACATTGATCCTGATGAACACCCAGATGTAGGCCTACGCATTTGTGGTTGATCAAATATTCTGGAGCTACGAGGTGGTAGAGGAGGAGGTGGGTCCTCATATTCATTTTCAGCCATGAGGATTTGGGCTTTCTTGGTTGCTGTTCGGTTCTTTCCTCTGAATTTGTTCAAGTACACTGACCGCAGCTGCTGTCCAAATGACTTGGTGTCGGACTTGTTCTCCTGTTTGTTGTCCGTTTTTGGTGGAGATAATTCTGATGCAGATGAATGCACCAGTTTGTCTGAAGACAATGGAATGGGAGGAAGTGATCTTTTTGGAGGTTGTCCCTTATTTGCTTTACTTCCCCCAGATACTGCTGATGACAATCTTGAGGCAGAGGAAAGGTTTGAGAGTGATCTTGAATTGGATGGTGCCTGTATATGATGGATAGGTGCTTTGTTGCTCATACTGTTGAATGGTCTTGGTGAGAATGAATTAGTTGATTCAGAGCTTACAGTTGCTTTAATGATTTGCTTGCCAACTGGAGTCCCTCCAGGGGACTTGTTTCTTCTTGCAGGTGTCCGTGTCAAACCCTTCCTAGAAATTGGCTTTCCATCTTTTTCCTCAAATGCTGACACTCTTTCTTGCACTGATCCCTCACGTATAATATTTGAATTGCCTTGGTGTTCATGTTCTGCCATGGAAGAACAGCATAAATGTCAGTTTGGGATCATTTCCATGCTTCAGGAAATTCCATGCTTTGTCAAAACTTGACAGGCTACTAATTCCATGTTCCATGCTTTTTAACCTTACCATACCATCCAACTACATTTTCCAAACTTATGTAGAATTTTGTTGATCATGCTCTTTCAAAAGGTGATAGTGTATCGTTCCAAGTTCAATGCTTTCCAAAACTTGGTAACATTCCATTTTCCATGCATTCCCATACTCATCACCATCATAGATTTTCCATGCTTTTTCAGACCTGATACCATTCCATATCCATGCTTTCTGTCTTTATTAGTTAAATTGGAAAATGAAGTTAACACTTTCTTGATCAGTGTCACAGGTATTAGTAATAAATATAGAAACAGAGTAGTGTTCACTAGTACAAACAGTTGTTTTTTTTTGCTTCTCAAAAAGAATAATAGTAATTATTACACTGGAAAATTAAATTTATGAAAAAGTGTAAACACCCAGAAGATCAAATCGTGCTTTTATACAAATGAAACAAGATGCATCACTCTGGAAAATAAAGCCGGGTAGTCACTGCGCGCAACGGCGACACGACGACGAACGCACGCGACATCGCGGAACCAACGGATCGCTTTTTTAATGAGGATCTGTTGAGACTGCCACTGACAATCAGCAGACGACGTTGCGTCGTCTGCTTGCTGGAAGCAAATGTGGATTCGTCGTGCAACGGTCGTACGACGCAGTGAGTACCCAGCTTAATAGTTTTGACAATAAATGATGTCCAGTGGTGTATCCAGAATTTAAAAAAGAATGAATGTTTGATTTGTAAAATGACAGATGTATTTCTGATGAAACTTGACTTATAAAGAACCCAAACAACAAATAAAAGTGATTCCATGATTTTTATGAAATAGCTAAAAAGCTGATGGCCTGTGGGCACACCAGGATACACCACTGATGTTAATTGCAGGTATTCCTTGGAAACTTACCTAGTAAATCTGGAGGTGGAAGAGGAGGTGGTGGTGGCACTGAGTGTGTGTTAGATCGTTCAGAGTCCGGCTCTATTGGTGATGATGGTGTGCTAGGCCTAGCCGATTCTGTAGCACTGTCATCATTTCTTGCCTGAAGATAGACATCATCTGCATACTCTGGCTCTGAGCTCATGATAGAGTTCCTTATGGATCCACCATGATCATACAGCTTCTCTGAAAAGCCTGATGTGCTTGGACCTGCCATTTCTGAAAGCCCTCGCTCTGCTTCTGGTGCAGATTTCATACTTGCTCTGTTATCATCTGCATCATTGTTTTCAAATTGCACCATGGCAGCAGCACTGGTTGGAAACTTTTCTCTGCCAATGGACTGACTGGCATTGTTGACTTGGTTTTGTCGGAAGTCTACATCAACTGTGGTGTAACTACTTTCTGTTACACTATTCGTGTCATAGATTTCTTCCTCTGTCTTTTCTGTATTGTCCCTTTGAGTTGTTATTACATTGCTATAAAATAATATATTAAACACTAGTATTTAAAATGGTATTCAAATACTTATACAAATAACATAAAATTGTCTGATAAAAGATTACTTTTTCAGATATTATTTCATATATATTAAATATTATTTTTAACTTAATGGGTGTGATTGTGGATCAGCAGGTGATGTCCATGAACTGTTTTTATTCATCAATTTAAATTTGGTATAAAAATTAATCATGGTTATTATACCTAGTTTCATTGTTTTCTTTTGCTTTCATCATCGTTTCAATGGATATTGCCATATTCTGCAGCTTGTCCATTGCCACCTTCGCGTCACCTTTGACATTCATTATAGACAAGACAGCATTCAACGTTTCTAATTCCTGAAAACAACAAAAAAAATGGTATGAAATCTCTAAAATACTTCCCCTAGACAATAAACTCTTACACACCATAATTAGGTGACCCAATTTCACCAACAAACAACTGGAAGAAAAATGATTTATGCTTTGTGATAATAGACACCAGATTCCAAATTATCCACTTTGTATAGTGACGAACTGAGATAAAAAGCACCTCTCTAAAAAAAAATATGCTGTTCGAATTTATCTGTTGAATAAAAATTGTGACACTCCATAGAAAGTACATATCACAATGGACCTTGATGATTTTGTATCATTGAGAAACTAATAAAAACCCAATTTCTCATGAAATTAGTAATACGATACACTACGATAAATAAGTCGAACACCCTGCGTAACATGTGGTAAAATGTTAGCATTCCAAGCACTACTATTGAGGAACCTCTCTCAAATAAGCATCTCACTGAAGTCTCAAAATTATATGTGCTGCAGCACTTATGCTAGGTTTACACTATGTTCCCGGTGGCCACGGCAGCCCCATTTGCCCGAAACGTAGTGCGCCGTGGGATTTTGCCAATTTTTTCCATGTTTCAAGTTTCCGTCTTGGCCTTTTTGGTGGCATAGCTTGGATTCTTTTTGTTTTATTTGTGGCTTTCTTCCATTTTATGCTTCCCGTCCCACTTTGGACCGCCTCCAAGTTTTGTTATGGCTTATTACGTACTATCATGTTTTGTTGCGTTTTGTTGTGATCACCCCATTTTTACTGCGGCTTACTAGGATTTCTCATTCGCACCGTGACTGCCGTGGCAAATTTTTTGACAGTTTAAAAATTTGCGCCGGCATCCACAGCAATCACGGCCCTTCACGTTTGCCCATCCCATTACCCCGCGTTGTCTCGCTTTGTCTCACATCCATCCCATTTTACTATCTAACTCATTCATCATCATCACATGATATGGCGATACTTTTTTTATACTTTGTTCCGCGAACTAATTTTTTTAAAGATTGTCAGGAGAGGGCGGACAAAAAATTAAAATAAAATTTTTCATTTTTAGCAGGTAGAGAGAATAAAAATAAAACTTTATTGGTGAATGTAAACATTGTAGTAATGGGATTATTAAATACTTTAAAAAAATAAATAGGAAGAAATATACATATCTTATTTTTATAAAGTTTCATGCTGTCGCCTAGAATACCTTTTGAAAGTCTTTGACAGTTGATCTGATGTGGTCTTGATTTTTAACCCCATGAACCTGGTCCCTTGCTGCATTCACTGCACGATTGTAAGCGTCATTGAAGGGCTCCGAGTCCATCCACCGATCACCACATGCATACTTAAGAGCCTAGGATATGAAATAGATATGGTGTGTCATGTATTATGAAAGTGCATTGATTTTATACAATCAACAACAATATATATAACATCAGTATCACTTTATAGATACAAAATAAAAGCCAACAGCTATCGCTAAACTAATTAAAATATCAAGAAATCGGAAAGTTTGATTTATACTGACTTACTCGTATCCATTCATCTCTTGCTTTAATGATTTCTTTTGCAGAAAGTTGACTGTTACTAGGAATACGGAAGCTGCAACAAAAATTAAACTACATCACCAAAAATATGTAACAAAAAAAAAATATAGTATCTGAAAAATAATAAAGTAGATGATAATAACAACATAATAAGTCAATTGTGACATCATCACTGTAAATCCCAATGTTATTTTCCTATTCCAAACTGTGTGTTACTTTTTAATTAGTACACAGCTTGCTTGATCATTTTTTCAGTTTGTATGCAAAAGGCCAATTCAACTTGTAAAATGTATTGCGTACTGCGATAAATATTTTAAAAAATTCTTTCAGGCATTGCAGTCCTTCAGGAATAAATCTATTCCTTCGTATAATAATTTCCACTAGTGTATGATATGCAACTATACTAACTGCTTAATAAAACAGCACTTATAATGCGCCATCTATCGACCATGCTATTCCTAGGTGCAATGACTGTTGATAAAAAGATAAAGTATATATTTATTTTATATTGGGTTGTTGGAAAAGCAAAACAGTGAGGTATAATTTTACAAACTGCCTAGTCAAAAAGTAGTATATATTTACATTAGTTTGGTTTATTGCAAACTATAAATTATTTGTCATATCATTTTTTGTTTTTGTTTTTTGGAATAAGGAGACAAATGTAAAGCAAATCTATTGTACATATTATTGTGTTACTTTATACCATTTAAAGTTTTGCATGCAAATTCATGCCTGTAATTTCTTTCATTGTTCACTGTCCACCATGGAAACAATTTGCCAGGGTCTGTAAAATGAAGTCCTCCAAAAGTCCTATACTGATAACTTACAGGTACATCTTCTTTCTTGTGGCAATACTGACTGCACTATCTCCAGCTTTCTTCACTGATGTTATATCATGAGCCAGTTGCAATATATTGAGGGCAGTATGTTTATCTTCATCTGGTTTATAGTAGGACAGCTCCCCTTGTCGAATTCTGACCCACCGTCTGTAAGATTTAAGTATATAATCTGATTTATAAGTAAACCAAGTAATGTTTCATAAAGTATAGTAATTTGTTATTCCTAGTGGAATAACAATGACACTTGGGACTGTTGGGGGACTGGTCATAGCAAATGTTCAGCATACCCAGACACAATTCTTGCCAGTGGCGTAACAAGAGGCCTGTGGCCACTGGATGCTCCCTTGGGCCTCACTACCCTGGGAGTGGGCTGCTTAGCATTCCAAGCCCTCCATGGTTTGGTACATATTTCGAAAATAAATGATTTGCTGCTCTACCTGCAAAGGTGTTGTTTCAGTGTGAACAACAGGGAAAATTGTTGAAAATTGAAAAGAAACAGAGAAGACACAAGAGAAGAGGTATACATATACGAAAGATGTCCATTTTTTCGGAAAATCTATGCAGTTGTAAATTACCAATTCAGACAGCCAGAATGATTGAAAAACTGAGCATCCCCTTGCAGTAATATATTAATATATGGGATATTACAATTTATGCATTATTCCTTACATTTCAAGTTTGTAAAATCATTTTATTTTTTCGCAATATATCGCATCACTAGGTCAAATAATTGTAAACCTGAAAGTGGAGATCATTTGCACTCCTATGCCAAAGGTTAAAAAATGTATGTCACTGATGAATGTTTTAAAATGTTTCAAGGTGATTCAAGTTAATTTCCCATAACCGGTGAGTCATGAACATGAACACTTTTTTTTCTCTGTCTGAAAAAATTTCATCTGACTACATAGGATTGTTCTAAAATGCTAATATTTGTTTACAAAATCATTGTTTCATACCACTGGAAATACAAAGTTCTTGTTTAATATCACAAGAAATACAACGGTTATTTTAGGTTTAACAACTTCCTTTAAGCACCACCTGAAACCACTTTCTATATTATATTTATCGATATTGAAAATTATTATATTACACTATTTTAAGTGATTTGTTGTATGCCAAGTTATAATTTATTGTTTATAAAAAAAAAACAATATTTATTTTGCGATTATATCAGAGTTGAAAAAACAAAATGTGTTCATCTTTAGGAAAAACTTTAGACATAATCTGACATTACTTCTTAATATTCCTGAAGATAATAAATTTAGTTTGAAGCATAGAAGCTTGATGGCTTGCATCTCTCGTTGTTCAGAGAAATGGTACTGTCTTTTGTAAAACCTAATATGGTATAAAAGCTAATACTGAAATTAGTTCTTGGTATATCTTTAAATAAATTTATCCCAAGGTCTAATTTTATTCTTCTTCCATGATTCAAACTATGAACTTTGGTAAAAACTTACGGACAAATTATCTGTTAAATTCATGGAAACTGTGTGACATTGATGACATTTTTTCTTGTGAATTCAGCAGCATGGCAAATTACTGATAAACTTTTTAAAGCAATTTGTCATGAAGTTTTGACCTACATCATTCAAATTAAGTCAATGAAATGTCAGATATATTTAAATATGTAAATTATATTATATTGATGAATCATATTATGACATATTAGGTAAGCATAGTAAACAAGACAATGACAATAACGACTATAGAATGTCATTATTTAAGGTAAAATTGAATTTGAAAAAAAAGCAAAAAGGAGGTCTATACTATAATAATTCTTTGTCACTGGTGGTTGAAAGGTATCCAAATATGCGATCGAGACATACAAAAAAGAGTTAGAGCATTCTTTTTTAACCCAAAATATAACAAAAATGTAGAAATAGTTTTCAATTATATTATCACTTCCCACTTATAATTGTTAATCTTATAAAACATATATTTACAATTATGTAAATAAGTATGTAAATAAGCATTTTACCAAGAGTATGTATATTTTGGAAAGTTGCCAAGTGTATAGAATAGACATTGCAATTGAAATTCATTGTTTAACTGAAGGTTACACCGCTGAACTACCTAGCAACATTGTTTGAATCACACAAAAAAAATGTCTGGCACCTTTCAATGCTAAATTAATTTTGAAAATTCCACAAAGCATTATGTATAAAAGTAAAGTATGTAAAATCACACTGTATGCTAATAAACCCACTTAAGTTTTGTTCTCCATTAAATGAACATCTAGTCAGCAAGACGACAATAAAATTAGCTGTTTCCTCTATGAGAGCAATTTTCAGGATTTTCTGTGACATTGCGTGGCAAAAGGCAGCGCAATAAATATCAGCTGATTGCACTCAACATTATAAAAGTCTTACAGTTCAAGAAAGTAAAGTTAAGAATATGTGATTCATACACATAAGTTGTTAAAATCTTCACTATATTAATACTATGGGCCTGTAATACATTTAAATCTATTTTCTATGCAAGGTACATGTTCACCTTATATTAATTTGTCTAATATCTGTGTTCTTTTTTTATGCACTAACGCATGTATTCAGCAGCTTCAGATAATTTTTTCCATGTTTCTGAGTATTCATGTTTTCTGGCATTTACGGAACCTTCTTTTACCTTTTATTTCCGAACTTCCATGACATATGAATTATAACTAGATGATAAATAAACTCCATATAGATGAGCACTACTTTCCAAAGCCCTAGTCAGAGAATTATGTTATGTAGTGGATGACATAATTTGAATATGGGTCCTCAAAACACACCCTCTTGCAAAAATAAGTGGTCAAGTTTGAAGGAAAAAGAAGTTGATTACACAACAAATAATTTCTCAATCCTTTATTGTGTCGGAACATTACCTCTAAACTACTGTGTACGGGATCTTAACTTCTGACCATGCTGTGTAAAGCAATTTATGCATGCATTATTAGTATTAGTATACAAAGTTTAAACTATAGAGGGTGCTATACATGAGAAAAAATCTATATAATGCAAAATGCTGAAAATGTTGTGTTAAAAAACAATAAAAACGATTTTTAATTACTTATTATGATTTAATAATTTAATATTTTTCTACATGATATTCTTTAACACAAACCAAGAATGTTGTTACTTCGGATAACTTGAAAAAGCAGTTCCCTTGGCTCCTCTTTACCGATTTAATCCAAATTCCCACTTTGATTAGACATGAAACAGACAAAGTAGTCAATGACTTCTAAGAATGGTTCGTTGGCAAAGTTGGCAAAAATTGTTTCTGTACTCAAGCCGATTTTGCATGAAATAATTTTTGGCCATACAACTATTAAGAATACAATATAGTTTGACATGGCATGTTTAACTTCAACAACAAATTACAGCATATGTTTGCAATTTAGAACAAGTTTGAAGCGATTCCAAAAAAAGTTGTACCAATTTGTCTAGTTGACGTACAACTTCCAGGCTATGACAATGATTGGTTTGGTACTCAAAATGTACGGAAACAATGTATAAATTGTGGTAGCATGAGGCACGGCAGGATTTTGGATTTTCAATCTATGGATCACAAGTTTGAATCTGTGGATGCTCATTTGGCAAGATATTATTCCCAAATGTGTTGACTTTATAAGGTTTATATAGTATAAGTATAATATTTACCCATGTACCCAGTTGATTTGGAATAAATCTGGTATGTGCATAACTGGTAGAGTGTTGGCCTAGTATAGGCCTACATAATCAGTACGCATCTCTGATAGGGGCTGACAATTTCTGACGAATGCAACAGGACCCTGAGTACCTGATCAGGATACAGAGTTTGTAGTACTCAGAAAAACTAGCATTTTATTAGAGTCATGGTCTACTAAGGAACTTAGCCTACCCAAATGCTAGTGCACTGTACTGCTGTCACCAGGGAGGAAAGTTTAAGAAAATGATTGGTTTAGTGTCCAACTTCAGAAGTGGTTTATGGCTATTTAAATAAATATATAAACAAATGAAGCCATGATGGCCAACACCAGGGGCAGATCCAGATGTCCGAAAGTGGGGGCCAAAAGTGGGGCCAATTAAGACAACACTACCCCAGGGGTAGACGGCCAAAAATAACATCTGAGGCGTTTTGGGCGATCAATTATTTCTTTCTTTTTTTTCTTCTTTGTTTTTAACTTTCCAAAAAGGGGGGGGGGGGAGCTGCGGTCGGCTTGCCCCCTCTAAATCCACCCCTTAACACCGTCCAATCAGTCAGTTTGCACAAACAAAAGCCTTCATAAAAATTGTGCATACAGTACATTTAAGTCAGCAAAGAATATTCTTACTCAGTATTTTACTGTCTGGTAGTTGATTGAACAACACATAGACTACGACTGTTCAAGGATTCCACACAGTAGCTCAGGCTCATTACTCAGGTTTAATTAGTCTCATTCTACTGAAATATTTCTCATATTGGTACTCTAATTTCCAACAACTATTAATTTCCTTTATTGCTTTAAAGAATAAAACTGGGCCAATCATGTTCAAGTTAAATTGTTTCTTTTCTTCGTTGATACAACAAATCAAAATCAACTGGAACTTAGTATATAATATGAATATTATTATTAACCAAGTAATCAAAGGTAAAAATCAGAAAATAAATCAGTACGCACGTAAATGAGAAAGTAAGCATTTAATTAATTCAATCATAAACAAATAAGCAAGCAATTGTAAATCATTATAAACCCATTTTTGAAAAGACCACCCAGCATTTTTATAATCCAAAGGCCTTGTATGAGGTACGATGAGTAATTTTATGTACATAAATATTGACATGAATAAAATAAAACAGTATGATCAGGTGCATTTCATAAATTTGTATAATCTGGACAAAATCAGCATTCTAACATTTTTTTTAATGATCAAAGCTCCCATATAGACAGCCGAGACAATAACAACAGGCAAGTCTATAATCAATGTCGTTTTTTCCTTGAATATTATAACCTCATAATATCAAAAATTCAACATGATTCATCCTATTCCTGCACCCACCACTGCAAGTTAATCAGTCAGTCTCTTAACTGAAGTATACCCAACATTTAGCCAATCAACTCTCAGAAAAATAATTTGGCGAGTCACACTAATCTACTATACTAAGTAATACCAAAGTAGCATTTTGGAACTAGTTGAGATATTTTATTAAAAATACAAGCTCTTGTCTACACAGTACATTTTACCTGAAGAAGTGTCTACAAAAATGAGAGAACTTCTACAAAAATGTGGAATTACTACAGTATGTATCGTGAACCAATCAGGAGATTCTGTAGTATCGATAGGCTAGGTTTCACATCATTTTGTGCATTCAAAAACATTCTAGATGTCATTATGAATTGTATTTTAGTTATTTTCTGGCTAAATAAATGGACCTTTTGAAGAAGCTGGCAATAAAAGTACTCAAAAATTCAGAGCTAATTTGAAGATTTGAAGAGTTTGAGATTATCAACAGGCTGGACTTTACTTTGGATCATGTCAATATATCAGTCAATGTTTTTGGATCTTCTAAACCTGGATCTAAAAGGACTTAAAATGAGCTCCTGAACATCAAAGACAATCAAGACTTTATAAACACAAAACATTCCAATAGAATAGACAGCTAACATTGATTTATTATGTATTAAATTCTTTGTGTATTAAACTTAATTTTTAACTTACTTTGTCCATGTTGTATACAGATTATGATTCTTCTTTTCCAGAAGTCCTTCCTTCAACACTGCTTGGACTCTCGGGAGAGTTGTTGCTCTATCATGGATGGTCAGAGCTCTTCCCTTTTCATGTGACCTGTTTTGCTCAACAATCATCTGCAGTAGTCGACATATCTATAATATGGTAATGCAAGACAACCATTACCAATTCTATCTCGCACAAAAAGAGAATAGTATTTACAGACAATAATAAAACAGACAATGGCTTTTAGAATGTTACAAAACTAAATTAAACCATTTTTCCTCAAGTAAGGTAAACTCTGGAAGAGTTGGCACACAGCCGTGGGGCTTAAGGTAAGGGAAAGTGTTTTTGGCACCAGATTAATACATCACTTATCCACTTCCAATATCAATTCACTCCCAACATTGTAAAGCCAAATTTATCCATTACCTTTTCTTTATCTTCCGGGCTGTCTGCCTCCATTTCATATTCATGATGATCGGTGAAGTTGATAAAAAACCGCAGTCCCTCCTGTAGGAGAAAGGAATGTGAATATGACTTTATTTTGAAACCAACACAAACATATGCAAATCCGATTTTGAAATCTTTTTCAAGGTTTAAGAATACTGTAATTGTTAAAGGTTCTAAATTTTGTTTGGCCTTTAAAAAAAAGTAGCAAGATATTAAATATGATACAATGGTTGAGAAATATAAGCAGTTATTACGGCAACAAATTCAGAATTCTCTATCATTGAATGAGTCATAAAAAATGTGAACATGAAAATAAACCAAGCCAGATGTTAGAAAACCATGTAAGATGTTGAATCTAACATGTATGCAGAAACCTAGATAGATATTTGCAAATTGAAATGCTAACATATGGGAAGTTTTTGTATGTTATATGAATGAAGACCAACTATGCATCTTGTATATGGAAATGGTTGTCATGACAGTTAACCCACTCACTGCAACTTTATATTTAATATAAGTACATAGTTGCCAACTTATACGGATTGACCGTGAGACTCACGGATAATTTATCATTTACCAGTTTTACTTCGGATGAACAAAAACTCACAGATTTCAAGGTTACTCACGGATCAAGATTTTTAAACTAATAAATAATGATTTACGAACTGCATATACAGTAATAATATGCAATAAATAGATCATTTGCCATTCGTCTGTTGTGTTTATAGTGTAGAAAAGAGTAACCCTAGGCTATGTGCAAACACAGTACGCTTGACGTTCGAATAGTAAACAAATAACACCCTTTACGCCCGCTACCGTCAGTGTGCTTTTTTTACCCAGTAATGCACCGCGCATGGTTTGTTTGTTTGTTAGTTTATCTGTTTTCCACATGAAAGTATTGTCTGTACACATCGTGTGATTCATGAATAAAGTGAGTCCTTAAAAAATGTTTTTGATTTTACACCAACTGTCGGGTACTCATCCTAAGTTTATTCCATGACCTATCTGAGAAAACAAATATCATTGTTCACATATTTGAACATTAACAATAAAGCATTTTTTATTCTTGAGAGAGACATACATACAAGTGCATTATTTATCCATTCAACCTTTACCTTATCTCACAAACATTGTTATAACCTAATTTAAATGTCTGAAATGTATTGCCAGTCCATAACAGCTGAATTCATGATCTGTCAGTAAAATCAAATTACATGCTTATATGTTTTCTGATTGTAATATCTGAAAGTATATTCTGTCAGAAAACAACTAACAGGTCATATTCAACAGGATATATTCCGTTAACTAAATAGTTTACTAATTCCCTCTTGCAACAGAAACTGAAAGCTTTCTTATCCAGAAGAGATTTTCAGCATTAACCCAATTTAAGCTACAAAGTTTTGCAATCGATGAATAATTAAGATAGACTTTGGCATTTTTTAGTTTTACACCACAAATAATATATGAATATCAAATTTAATTGCACATGTAAAGTATTGAATACAACATTGTGCTAGTGATATAATATTATAAAAGTTTGTTTCATTTGTACAATCAATAAACTGCCATAGATCTTATCCATGGTAAAATTTATTTATCCTGAAGTGATTAAGTAATTAGAATAATTCATAATTTCTTTTATGAAAATACTTTCCATTTTTTATTAATATATTTAATTATTAGATGTTTAATGAAAGTCAGAGTAAAACTTTGTTTTAATCCTTAACAAATGAAACTACAATTAAGTTAAGTTTTTGTACATTTAATTGCAGCTCTCCACTGCACCAGAATAACGTCATAGTTTCAGTTTTTACTGTGATGAAATTTCAAATTCAGGAGTCCCAACTTGGAAGAAGTCATTTCTGGGAGATCTGTAAAATGTGCTTTCTTAGCACATCTGATTTTATTTTGTTGCTCTTAGTGATGCCCATCAACAATGACTTCCACAAGGGGTATAAAGTAGTAAAACATACATATTTAATTAACTTGCGGAAGATGGGCTATTTCCCGGGGGCTTGCTTGGTTGCGGGGGTGCGGGAGCCTGTCCACATTTACAAGAGGCTCCCGCAACTTGTTGGAGACTTGGGACCCCTGCAAATTATTATTCATATAACTATAATTATTATTAATATAATTATTATTATATTAATAATAATTATATTAATAATAATTATAGTTATATAAATAATATTAATATAATTATTATTAATATATATTTTATGCACTGGTTAAATTATTTTAATTATTTTATTTATATTTAATTCAAGATTAAAATAAATGCAGACTATTATTATTTTTTATAATACATAATCAAATCATAATCAAAGTTATAGAATGATTCATAATGAAAAGTTGTTTGTGAGCAATATGCAAAACAGCTGCATAAGTCATTTAAAGTTGGGAAAAATTACAAGACTACAATAATGGTTACTAATAGAAAAACATGGTAATAATAACAATGTCATTCTAATCATCTTGCCAACAAAGCCTCAGCTTCATTTGATTACTAATGAATTATAACAGGTCTTTACAATTAGGAAGTAGTTCATCAGGCCCATACTTGACCTAAGTTGATTGTTTCATAAACTTAAGACTGATTTTTTTTAACAAGATTGCAGACCTGAAGAAAACAATTCTGTCTCCTCTGACAAAGAAAAGAGTACCTCTTTTGCGAGCCCTCGGTCTGCCATTTAATGTTATAGTATACCTCCATTGGGTACAAACAACTCTAAAAGAGGAATTATATAACTCCAAGTCTGTGGGTTTCTTTACCAATCTCTTCCCCCAATCAAACATTGCATTATGAAACTAGATTATCACCACTGTGCCTCAGGCAGAATTTCTGGTCTGACATTCCTTCATGATTCTCCAAAGATAATCTGAAGGATGTCAGCTCCTCTGACAATGGTGTCAATACATATTGGCTCACTAGATATATTTCCAATGTGGAATGTTGATCTCTGCCTCACATCCTGACAGGATCCTCAATGTCACATAAAGCTAAATACCTCCTACTCTAGTAGAGGAAGTATGTTTTTTAATGTATGTTATTATTTCTCGGATTTGGTTTTAGGCTACAGTCTGGTATAAAGCATTCACTTTTGACAGGGTTACTATACAATGACATTTATAATAGGCAGCTGGCCAGCTTTGTAAATCAAATTATCTATAATCATATTTTTAATAATCTTTCCATTTCTTCTGGTCATGGAAGGGAAGTAATGCAAGGTCATCACTATCTAAAGACATGACTCTGGAGGCCGAGCAGACCAGCTCAATGTTTTTCATTCCCTTCTTTCACTTTAGTCCAAATAGGTTGAAGTAGCTCATACGGTCATATAATACGAGTATACATGGCTAGAAAGTATCACTGTCACCACAAAGTGACACAAAGTAATTTGTGTTTGTCCGTGAAAACAAAAAAAAAAAACTCATTTTTGTATCATGCACAGTTATTGTGACTACAATTGTACATGATAAATACATAATTGTTTTTTAGCGATACATACTAGTCACTCAGTGACGACACCAAAATAAATAGATGTCATTAGCGTTGTATCACAGCCAATGATAAAATGAAGAAAAGTGGATCTTTCATGTTATTACAGGAATAGGAGGGCAGATGCGAGCCCAAAATTAATCATGTATAACTCATAAAGCTTCTGTAAAGCAAAATTGATTTCATCTGTTGTAATCATTTCAAAAATGATCTGTATGAATGACAAAGTGAAATTAAATAATAAAAATTTAAATTCTACAAAAGAAAATCAGGCACAGCCTAAAATAAATACATCCGTTTTACAGAAATGATAATCCTTGATAAATATGCAGAATGTCAACTCATAGGACATTGTTTATACATTAATGTTTCAAAGAATCCCAAAACATTGTCACAATTCAAAAGTAAACATTTTTGATTTTTTAAACATTACAGTATCTAAAATATCTACTTTATATTGCATATTTCTAAAATTATTATTTGAATTATTAATTTTATCAATTTATTTTTTATTTTTTATTAATTTTAATTCATATAAGATAAGAAATTCTTTATTAGTCTATTCACGTATAAAAATACATAAACAGAATTGTTCCTTGAATCTGGCGTACACAATTAGAAAATTCATTAACACCAAACCAATCATAAAATATTACACCAAACAAACATCAAATTACAAAATGAAAATGATATTTAAAAATACATATTTGGGGCTATAATTGAAATTAGTGAAGTTAAAAGTTGATAAATAAAACTGTTATGCTACTGCTCATTACATTATTTAAATATTATATATTAATTAAATATATAAATATATTCTCCTGTTTAAGCATTTACTAATGTGAAAGGTCGCAGGTTTGAGTCCCGCCAGAGGCATTTTATTACACAATTTCTTTATTCATTTATTTTTACAGGACTACATTCGTTGAGAGCTATGCTAAACGATGTATTATTATGTCCTTTATTCTAACACTGTATTTACCTTTCTTTGATGATTTATATATTTTTAAATATTTGTGATTCAATTAATATTGCTTCACACGTCTACAACTTAAAGCTATATTTTATTGCTGTCTTTTTAAATTTGATATACATGTTCTACCTTCCTTCTATCCCGCTATTCGTTCATCCATCTATCAATCTGAAGAAATAGACTGGAATTTTTAAAGTACACTTCCTCTACTACTTGTCCATAATTAGTTATATCCTCCACTAACACAGACAGGTCAGATATTTAATAAAATCAGGTGGGCACAGGGTGAACAGGGTTACAGTTTTAAATTTACAACCATGTTAATTTTGACAGTGAGCACAGGGGAATATTTACCAGTTCCCCTTTCCTTCTGAATCTACCAACATGTATTCTACTACACCATGTCCATTAAAAAGGCTTTACTTTCACTTATATTTTACTTTTTGCTCCACAAATCAATTGCTACCTATGAGCTGTCACAGGGCACCTGTACACTGTTAACCCTTTCTTATTCATTCCTGAAGTTTTTAAATATTAATGACCTCCAAAAATGTTATTCACTAGAGGTTTTTTGAGTACCGTAGGCCC